TATTCGTCACTCATTTTTAATGTAAAGTAATGAATTAAAACACGGTCAAGTTTTTTTTTTAATTTAACTTAATACCTACCAACTAAGATCAATGTTTTCTACTCGTGATGTGACTAGTTAACTAAGGCTGAGTTGCACCATCTTACAATCGTCAAAAATCTGTCAAACTCCATACAAAAAGCACCGGTTAACGGTATAGTTACGGTCAAAGTCAGCCTAAGACCTCTCAGTAATTGGGACCGCATGCAGTACTACGACTGGTTACCCTTCCATCTACATCTCTGGATCTAAATTACTAATTAAAATAAAACAAACTCTAAAATAAAATATGCACACGTGAATATTAAAAATATATTAAGTACCAATTACGATTTAGTTTTGGCACTGTACGAATATGAACGGAATATTATTAGCAGCACACATAATATTTATGTAGGTATGATTTTGCATATTAATATTTTCGATTGCACATGTTTGATCAATGACGTGTCCGATAAAGAATTAGCGATAGATTGTAAAGGCCTTGAGGACAGTAACAAATATGTTTTAAAAATATTATCATTTTTGTGTGTCAGCTTTATTAACAGGTAAAACACGCTGGCTAAAAAGAAGGAAAGAAAAGAAGTAACTAAGATATTTTCATTCCTTAGGTTAGGTTATAACATTGTGTATAATTTTGATGAAAAAAGTCATTTGGCCGAAGTACCTGTCTAATAAAATTTCCACTCGTCTAGTGATTCTTATGTTTACGAACGAGTTAAGAAGAACGTAGAGCCATGACTTTATTTTATATTTTAAGCAATAAATACCCAATTTTGTTTATTTCCTATACCTCCAAAATTCAATATGTCACAGTCATTCGAAGTAATCGGCCTTCACGTGTTAACTTCAGCGAGGTTACGCTATTCTTGCACTTGTATGTATCTCAATACATTTTTTGGGCAAGGCTCTACATTCAACATTGGTTCCGCATCCACAGTTACGACATTGTGCATGCGGCATGCGTGACCTTTCATACTTGAAGAGGTTAATATACGTGTTAGAGTTCCGTAATTTTCTTTAAATAAGAAAACTTACGACCTAAGTGTCAAGTTTGTCTGTCTGGCCGTGTCTGTCGCATTTTTGTTTGAGATTAAGTGGTGGATAAATTTTAAAAATAATTAAAAAGAGTAAGAAACACGCGGGTTTTATAAGGTTTATTCAACACTTTTTTAACATAATATGGAAAATCGTAATGAAAAATCTATGAAAAAATTACCTACATTTTTGTTTTATTGTTTTTATTTAGTCACAGCTCTATAGAATACTAGAAACATACCTAAATTAAGATTATTTTAAGCTCATTTTCAACATAAATGAGTCATCTACATTCGGACTTGGCAAATCAAATTGACATTGCAATAAATATAATGTTATTGACAACTTTTGGAAATATTAATCGATAGAAATATTAAATACGATGACTCATTTCAATTTTGACCATTCAAAGACCTTCTATATCTAATACACTGAAGTATTAAATGACAAAACTCGGTTGAACTTTAACCTTTGTGAATATTTTAACATAGGTCCTATTTATAGCGTTGATCGACGAATAGATTTGATAAATCATTTAATTAGTTAAACTAATAAATTCATATACAGACTGTCGCGCTTATTTGCCATAATCGACCTTCTTATACAGGAATTTTTATTAGGTATAATATTTTATAATACACTAGCTGACCCGGCGAACTTTGTTCCGCCTTAATGGCGATAAATAAGCAGACTTTTTTTTTATTTCGTAGGGGATAAAAAGTATCCTATGTCCTTCTCCTGGCTCTAAACTACCTCCCTGACAATTTTCAGCTAAATCGGTTCAGCCGTTCTTGAGTTATAAGTGGTGTAACTAACACGACTTTCTTTTATATATATACTAGCTGACCCGGCGAACTTTGTTCCGCCTTTATGGCAATAAATAAGCAGACTTTTTTTTAATTTCGAACGGGATAAAATATAAGATTAGTAAAACAACTTTTACTCTTGAACCAACTGATCTATCTTAACCGCTATAGTTTTCCTTGAAAGTTCATAAAAATCACTATTATCATGATTTTTTCCAGATTTTTCAAGCCAACAGTTTAGTTTTAGAGCCTACTCGGACAAAAATTGGCTCATTAAACTTTAACATTTTGCAAACGGATCCCTAAATCGAAAAATGGTCTAAGAATCCCCTAAGCCATTTTAAAAGACCTATCTAACGATATCCCACACGATGGGGTAGAAGATGAAAAAAAAGCATCCCCACTTTACATGTAGGGGAGCTACCCTAAATTTTTTATTTTATTTTACCGTTTTGTCGGCGTGATTAATATACATACCTCCACAAAATTACAGCTCCCTAGTGCCAATAGTTTCCAAGCAAAACCTCGGACAGACAGACAGACATATCGAAACTATAAGGGTTCCTTGTCAGGACTACGGAACCCTAAAAACTAACAATTCCTACCAAATCACGTATTCCGAAATTCATACGGACGGCCGAAAAGTTCTGCCTAAAGCCTTAAACCGTATGAATTTGATTAGTACGAGAAATCAGATTCCTTCGAGTGTATTCACCCGTTAGGTTTCGAAATCCGTACATTCAGTAAGGAATGCCCGTAATACATTAATTTGGGAGGAATCGAGGTGATTCAAAGGTAATGTATTACTGCTGCCTGAATGCGTACATAAGTAGGCGAGTAATCCTTTATGTGTATGTACTCGTATATGTAGAGACAAGCACGGCATTTCGAGTAATAGGATTATTTACCTCGAAATTGTAATTTATATTAAATCAATTTACACATAGTTATGTAGACAATAGGAAATAATAATTAGGGTGACACAACTGCGTATTAATTTTAATGATATTATATACGTCATATCCCAGCTTTTTGAAGTCAACGTAAAATATTATACCTTTATCGATTGGCGTTGGTACACATCGTGTCAAATATGGTTACGAGTTCGAATCCTGCTGAAGCCTTTATTGGGATGATTTAATAATGGTATTCCATCGCTATAAATTAATATTGCCTCAATTTGGGTGATTGTAAATTGCATTTGGGTATAATTGTAACTGACGCATGCCATTACCGCAATGTTATTAGCAGGTGTTTGTATTGTGTAAAATTAATAAAATAAAATAATGTTTAATAAATTAAATGAAAGTCTTAAAAGAAAGAATGAGATAATTTTATTACAAAAAATAAGACAAAGATTTTTTGCTGCGGAGCTCTCACACGTACCTACTTAGTCAATTTAAGGAAAAGTTCCAAGTAGAAGTCACTCTATGAGTTATGAAATTAGAGACCCACAATCTTCTAGGTTTACCGCTCTACTTCACCATATGGTCGTGAATTTAACATATCAATAAAACAAAAAATGTTCGTGGTTCGAGGAAATAATCAACGAAATTATTTCAGTACGGTTGGTAAATGAGTAAATGACAATAGGAAATAGATTTACCAGATATCAATGAGGATGTTTCCCACGCTAAATAACTGGTGTGAATTTGGCATACAATAGATTGTTGAGATTAAGTAATTTAAGCAAGCCATCAAATTGGTTCAAGATTATAGTTTACATGATTAATTGCTGTTTTAATAACTTTTCTTTACAACGTTAATAATGTTATTTTTGACACGAAACTACATCGGTAGGAATTCGAAGAATATCTTAATCTCAATAATTATTTTTTTGTCTGTATTTTTGTTGTTTTGGTTCAAAAATAAAAAGAATGCTAAAAAGTTTTCCTCGAGGAGTGATCTGTCAAAGCTTTACGCCAAAAGACATATTAAAATATCAATTTATGTACCTTTTTCAACTGTTTTACTATAAAGAAATGCACAGTCGATAGCAAATCAGACTAAGGATTTTTTTTGGAAAATATCACTTATTCCAACGTGCTTACCTTGACGTGCTGTCGTCTTACATCGACTTTGCGTAAAATTCTTTGAGATGTGTAGCTTCAGTCATTCAGTAGGTAGGCTAAAGCGACGTTAATTAATTAACTTTTATTCTTGTCCAATTAACTAAATGTAGTACTATTTTTACAATCCGGATACAATCATTGAATGACAGATAATTTATCGATAGTGGAAGCGGAACAAACGTTTAAGTCAGAGATTTTTCGCATAACAATGGACTAAAATTTATCGTAAAAGAGTAATGATGAGTGTACGTTTAAGGCTTTTAACAAATGGATGGAGATGAGCTGAAGCGAAATTTCCCGCCACTAAAATCTTTATTAATTGCGCGGTCATAACGCGCGACATAATAATAATATTTTAGTGTCGAAAATTCGCACTAAGCCGCACAGATTATATAATTCCGATTGTACGGCCAAATTAATGACACGGTTTGTTTATACCGATATCAAATTGGGGGTCTAATCTTTATTCACATACTGAAACCCCTTTTATGTATTATATGTATTAAGCTCTAATACCATCGTTAATATGGTAAGTTCCCAATTCGCCCTAAGCCCGAGTTATGGTTGGTGTGTATGAGCTTTAATTAAGGATTAAGATCTGTTATGAATAGCAAATGAAGCAATTAGCGTGGATATGTCGGCCATATGTTATGTTATAATAACCGTTTATGAATGAGAGCTAATTGTTTTCCCCGCCGCGAAGAAAATTGTTTGAAAATGCTGACTATTTTCCACCAGCTCCCGCCACGTATATCCATTGGCATTTACTTGTAAATTGCTCAGTTCACTTACGTCTATAATATAACAATTAAACCGTTTTTACCGTTTCCGTTTACACGTATGATTGTGCAACTAAACATACCTTTCAAATAATTCACAAAGGCGAAGCACGGTCGTAAGTTAGAACTATCAAGACTCGGATTCGGGTTTTCCTGAGGCTGTGTTATATCTCTCTCTGTCTCGAGTGCTTTTGGGCATGTTGATCGTGCGTCCCCCTCTAACTTGGGAAGGCTTGCGCGGAAAGAGAATGTGGGTAACGAACGACCTTTTGCTGTTATGGGCAGGCAGTGCGGCCCGTGCGTTCGTCGGGAGCGGTTCTCTCGCTGCTGCTTGTCAACATCGCGAACATCTGACAGCCTGAAAAAATTACGTAAATATTACAACACTCACGCATTGATTATTATGAAACGTCTGTAACTGTAAGGCCGCAGCACTGGTCGGCCGTCGGTAGAGCGTAGGAACCCTGGACAGTGAGCATGGTGTGCGAACCACGTTTTGTTTAAATTGTGCGATCCTGTTTGACCCTGGTGATTTTATTTTATTATATCGTACGTATCCTGCCCGGCCCGTGGTGTGCACTGAATCATCCGGCTCTGTGTTTTTGTTGTGATTTATTTCTGATTGGATTGTCACTTATCTTTTGGTGAGTACTCTTTATCAAACTTTGTTTTGCATGCTTAAAACTTACATTCATATTTTATTTTGAGCTTTTGCATGTTAATATCGTATCGATTTCATAAATTATACAAGCATGGTGTCATTAAAAGGACATATCACTGTTGATTAAATGTTGTAATCACTTTTTAGCAGTGATAGTGGAGATTTGATTAGCTCTACATTAACATTGCATAAAGTTATTAATGCTGATGAAATTGATATTGTGATAATCATAGTATGTAATTAGATATTTTGTTTTTAGCATGTAATTATTTCGTAGTTGTTTTGAGAGTTAATTTAATATGCTTTTAGGTTGCTTATATGTTTTTAGGTAAGCGCTATATTTCTGTCATTCACATTACGAGTATATGCATAAGAACTTACAAACGAAGTTTGCGTTTAAAAAATTGTAGAGCATTGTGCAACCTAATTGTCACGCCAAATATTACTTTATGTAATTATTTTGCACGAGTCTGCAACGTAGAGACCAGTAGATTTCATTTTTAACCATTCTATACGTAGAAATCGTAGGTTATAAATCATAATTAGTAATTATTCTAATTACCCCAAGTATGTAACCTAGGTAACTAAGAAACCCCAGTAAATATGCTTTGAAGTTCGAGGGAATAACGTTAAGTGTAAACAATTGTTTAATGTATATTTAGGGAGGTAAACTAATTTCACTTGAAGCCTTCTTGACAAATATCATTCCCAAATGTTGACTTACCGTACATTAATTAATGTTGTTGGTAGGCAGGTTTTGTTATTTGCTTATTTACTTCCAATTAGAATACCATTATGTGTCAATAAAATTGACGTAAATTGCTTACATAGTATTTTCAAAGTATAATATTAATTAGATCCGGGAAATATTGCCTTTGATTTACACAATGTTTTGATAAATTTATTATTTGCTCTAAAATATTGTTATAATGTTTTAACCAAAATGTATTGTTAACATCATTTTGCTTGGATAAAGTTACATAATTTGAATATGATATAGGTACAAGTACCTGATTACAAGTAATTTGAGTTAAGCCTTTTTACAGTTGAGCTTTTAGGCTGGGTTGCACCATCTTACTTTAACTCTGACAAACGTCAAAAATCTCTCAAACTCCATACAAAACACACCGGTTATCGTCATAGTTACGGTCAAATTTAGGTGGTGCAACTCAGCCTTAGTCATCTCGCATCTTAGTCTCTACTTTGATATTTAGAGGTGAACCCAATAATTCTTTCATAATAGTGTAGTCTGCTAACAAAACATAAGTTACACTGTGGTTATTCATGCTAGCTGATCTTCGAAATATTTTGCTTCTCTACAATACCTGTAGGTGCAGTTATAATTGACATTGATACGTGCCATGAAAACACCTCAATATCCTAATTGAGTATTAAGTATACTTAACTGGCTGTTTTATTCTTTCGCAATCTTAAGTACTTCTCAGCGTGATGAAGATTGCTTAATCAACCGTCAGAAATTTCTATGATTCTCTTTGTCGGCTAACTATTTTTGTTACAAGCCAATCATTATAGTAACGCCAGTTTCGTCATGGCGTCACGATCGCGGCAAACGCACTATTAACTCGAACACACTTTGAATTAAATTATCTTGTCATATGCATCTTGATGTTGTTTGTTGTCTAACTTGTAGAGCAATTCCGTAACAAGTGATTTTATCAAAACAATATTTTATGAGTCTTGACTTTGCTCAACTTAGGATGTTTTTAATAAGTATCGTGCGGATTTCATCAAGCAGGCGGGATTGCCCCGCATGCGTGGCACCCTCAAGTAACATTTCCATACATTTTTTTTTAGTAATGCGGGAATACGCTTTGGTGGGTGCGTGATGAAAGCACTTTATTAAAAACCCCCTTACTACAAGAATATTATTATTATCAATTTTAATTCTTAATAGAATTGAATGTCTGTGAGCTTAGGTAATAAATATAAAATATAAAACTCTTGTAATGTTCCTTCGAGCGATCTAGATCCGGCTTACGCTACGTTTCCATTTCCATTGAAGCGGGCGGGAGGGACGAACTATAAAAGTGTTGACCACCACTTTAATGTTATATTTTATTGATTTTGTCTAGTTTTTTCTTAAATTCGTAGACATATTGACATATAAAAAAAAAAAAGCAAAAAGCTTAAAAAAATAGTGTTTTGCACAGAAAAAATACGGTATGTACTTAGATGATTTTTTTTGCCTTTGTGCAAGTTTTAATAATATTTCAATAATAATCGATCTACATTTTAATCGAAGTCCGTTTGTAGTCTGAATGCATACTCACTAATAGGCCCTACTAAGTGAAATCAGACTCGATTCTTCAAAAACAAATACGTAATTCACTCAGTTGATTGAATCCTCTTGCAAATATCAGACGCCCGATTTCGATTTCTTATAAAATATTCGACAGAAAATATGACTGTTTATCTTCCAACTGCCAATGCTGTCTGCTACAATGGAAACGCGGTCATGCAGCATTCCTTTGTCACTACGGAATTCTTCTATCGCTGCAAAAAATACGACTGCGAGCCGAAGCGTGAGCTGATCTTGTAGAAGTAACTAGTTTTCAATAGGCCTTGATATTTTCGTTGCTATTGTCTCCATCCTCCGCATTGCTTTTCTTTATGAAGTTGAGAGTATTTTTCTTTTCTGCTTGCATGTTGTAGTTAGTAGAACTATGAGAGCTTTCGTTTAACACATTGTTTCGGATAAGTGTTCAAGGATTATTTTTCTTTATCGAGAAGAGCAAAAAAACAGTTATCGATTGTCTAAAAGCAAATCCCGGACGCAAAAAACGAATGTCAATAACAGATTATCATCGGCAAACCCAGACACATCGAACTTGAGTCATAAAATAGTCAATTAAAATACCTCTTAAGGTCTAAGTGGTCGGATGACATTGAGTATACTCGAATTGTGGGCAGAGGCTGGGTATTCTCTAGTGATGACTGTGATGAGTCATTGGAAACTCAGCCGAGGCCACTTGCCGATATCCGCCTGTCAAATCGTCCCGACTTTCGGCGCTTGCGCAACCACGACACCCACAGGTTAACAATCACGCCGATTGTTTACCTTTACTTGATGCTCAAGTAATTTGGCGAAGTAACAAGAAAGCGAAGAGAAATACGTCGCTACTTTCGAAAATATCTTGTTGATAGATAATTGAGTCGTCTAGTTTCAAAACCCGCTAAAACGCTCCTGCAACTAATTTCTGTTTATATCTCTAAATGATGCTACTGCAATTTTCTCATCATACTATTCAATCATTTTCGATCAAAATACAATAAAAGACTACTAAACTAGCACTTAAAATTATGTTTGTGTTACAAACTCCGCTAAAACGCCGTCCGTTTCTTTCAAAACCCTCTAAAAGTTGATTGACCAATGGTAGCACGGTATTTTGGTCACGTGACTGCGAAATCAGTATGGAGATTTTTGTATAACGTGGTTGCTTCATAATTTGCTCTTATCAAATCCCGCTAAAATACAACATGTCCGTTTCAAATCCCATTAAAACCGAATGTTCGTAACAAAATACGCCAAAACGAAAATAGTTTTCATTATAATTCAAATTATATTTAATTTAAAGATAAATAGCAATTACTGTTAGTATTGCCAGATGACAATAATAATTCGTATCATATTTTTTTTTGCCTAAGGCCAAAGCTATATGGGTAAGCGGTTTTTTTCAATTTCTCGAAATCTTATCAAAATCGTTTTAGCGGGATTTGAAACTAGACGCCTCAATTTGACGTCTACAGTTTTATAACGACACATTTTGCGCAATTATACGTGTTTGATGATGCGTTCTTGTTATTAATTTCAAACTGGTGACATGTGTGTTTATGATCGTTTACATAAATATTAAGTAATAATTATACTTTTAATATTAACTTAAAATTTGATAAAAACATTAATGACAAGGAGAAACTTACGGGTAAGTAAAATCCAATGTCGCCTGTCGATACCAACAATCGTATTGATCAAACAGGTTCCCACGCCCGCAGAATGACTGATGGTTAATTATAGAATTAGCTTTTTACTCATGTCTAGCTAACAGCACATTAGCCTAGGTATACAATTTTATTGCAATGTCGCTTTTATTACAACGACATAAGATGCCACAATGTTAGCTTGATCTGCCGTCATCCGAAACTATTAAATGTGCGCATATTTTGCAGGTACCTTTGACATTTACCTATTTATTCAATATCTCACAAAACCAGTGTCATTGGTGGCTGTTGATTATATTTAGAATAAATTATTTTTTCTAATTTTGGTCACGGCCAATATGGTAATTGAAACTCTACCGACTCTACCCTACTAGCAGGCCTGTTCATCTCCGCGAGTTTACATCGAAAACAAAACACGCACGATTGCCCCCTACAAGAGTACTATTCAACAAGGCCTCACATACGAGCGAACATTGACTCACGCACGCGTATTCTTGTGTATGATGGAAAAAAATAAAGAAAATGGTGTACTAAATACTGTGCAGTATTTAACTGCCTAAATAATAATAAAAACACAGAATGTACTTTTTTAAGTTGCCTCAAGACACTGAGAGGTAAATAAGTAGTTAATATTATTCATGATAATTCATGCTAAATCATGTATTTCCTCCGCCATTTTCTTCAGATTGGCACCTCACGTCACATCATTTTACCGAAGTCAGCCCTATAGCTTCGGCGCAGTATCGATCACTGACGTTTGTCAACAAAACTTCTGACAAACTTGCTTGACTCTTGAGACAAGCTAAATTACACCATATTGTTAATGACATTGAGCATACATTTTTTTAAATACCTTCGCGAAGTAAAACTTCTGTACGTAGTACTTATTATTATTCTGTGGTGTCTCAAGAGTCAAGCACCATTTTGTTGACAAACGTCAGTGATCGGCACTGCGCCGAAGCTCTAAGGCTGACTTCGGTAAAATGATGTGACGTGAGGTGCCAAACTGCGGAAAATGGCGGA